CTTCTACTGATTCTGTTGTTTCTTTTCCACTATTGTTAGGTCTTCCGTTTTCAACGGAAGACCTATAGTGATTCTACTGTTTCTTATTAGGTCTTCCGTTTTCAACGGAAGACCTATAGTGATTCTACTGTTTCTTATTATTATTATTCTTATTTTTTTTGACTTTCTAATTTTGTGCACGCGATTTCTCGAAGACTATTGGATGGATTTACATGAAATTTTCAGGAAAAGTGTGTTGTAACATGAACTTGATCTATCTGAGAGATTTTTTGGAAATTACCTTCCGGTGCCGAGTTACAGACCATTTTCTGATTTCAAAATGACATTTTGTCCGCGGATAATCTCAAGAACGACAAGAGATATCAATGTCAAACTTTCAGGGATTATAGTTCGTGATAGGTACTAGACGGGTCGCTACTTTTCGTTCGTCGTCGGCACTTCCGGTCGCCTACGGAAGTGATCAAAGAAATCGTAAGATTTCAACTTTCCTTTTTTAAATCAATACTTACATCACATTATTGGATCTCTTTTGTAGTTTCGAAATATGTTGGTCCCACCGGAAACAAAAACGTGAACTTCCGGTTATAAGAGAAAAACTACATAATTTGAGTATTTTTCTTTCCCATTAATATCTTTTGTAGATAAAGTATTTGAAATGAATTTTAAATATGTTATTCAGACTACAAATTTCTAGAGTAACGTCAAATATCTTTGTAAAATTCACTTCCGGTCGCGTGTTTTCCTGTCCTCAAAATGAGAAGTTGTGTGGGCAACATCTCGGAAACACTAACAGATTATGAAACCAAACTTTTATGAGAAACAGACCTTAAGATGTAGGCAAAATCATTTGGGTTAAGAGCGTCAGCCGTCACTTCCGGTCGTCACAGGAAGTGATCAAAGAAAACGAAAATTTCAACTTTTCTTTTTTTAATTAAAAATTGCATCACTTTATTGCATCTTTTTCGCAGATTGGAAAGATGTTGGTCCCACCGGAAACAAATACGACAACTTCCGGATAGAAGAGAAAAACTAAATAATTTGAGTTTTTTAATTTCCCGTCTATATTCTTTATAGATAAAGTATTTGAAATGAATTTTAAATGTGCTATTCAGAGTGCAAATGTCTAGAGTAACCTTAAATATTTTTTTCAAAAATTCACTTCCGGTCGCGTTTTCCTGTCCTCAATATGAGAAGTTGTCTGAGCGAGATCTCAAAAACAGGTAAAAGATTAAAACACCAAAATTTTAAGAGTAATGGACGTTGAGGGGTAGGTGAAACCATTTGGGTTAAACGCGTCAGTGGTCACTTCCGCTTCTCACAGGAAGTGTTCAAAGAAATCAAAAAAATTTAACTTTTCTTTTTTAAATTAAAACTTACATGACTTTATTGCATCTCTTTTGCTGTTTTGAAATATGTTAGATTCCACCGGAAACAAAAACGTCAACTTCCGGTTTTAGGAGATAAACTACGTTATTCTTATATTTAACTTTCTCATAAATATCGCTTATCGATAAAGTACCTGAAATGATTTTATGTTGTAGATACTGCAAATGTCTAGAGAAAAGTCCGAGATTTTTATAAAATTCACTTCCGGTTGTGTGTTTACCTGTTCTCAAAATTAGAATTTGCTCCCACAATATTGTTCGGCAACAGTAAACGACTGAGGACTAAAACTTCAGGACTGATATTCAGTCATCAGTTTATTTGAATTGTGAGAAAATCTTGCATCGTTGTTACTTCCGGTCGTGAAAGGAAGTGATGTATAAAAGTGAATGGTTAATGGTTAGCACTTCGGGTTTTCACGCTGACGATTAGGGTTAAACCTCCAGAGTGTCTGAATTTCTTTTATCACTTTTTCAGCTTGAATTTTCGTTTTTATTTTCAAAAGGAAGACCTCTCATTGCTCGCAATGAGTTTCTAGTTATTATTATTATTATTATTATTTTTATTATTTTTTTTTGACTTTCTAATTTTGTGCACGCGATTTCTCAAAGACTATTGGATGGATTTACATGAAATTTTCAGGAAAGATGTGTCGTAACATTTTCTTTTTTAAATTAATGCTTCCATCACTTTATTGCATCTCTTTCGCTGTTTTGAAATATGAGAAATTCCACCGGAAACAAAAACATCAACTTCCGGTTTTAGGAGATAAACTACTTTATTTTGACATTTACCTTTCTCATAAATATTGCTCATCGATAAAGTACTTGTAATGACTTTATGTATGTTGTATATACTGCAAATGTCTAGAGAAAAGTCAGAAATTTTTATAAAATTCACTTCCGGTCTCGTGTTTACCTGTCCTCAAAATTAGAATTTGATCTCACAATATTGCTCGGCAACAGTAAACGACTGAAGTCTAAAACTTTCAGGAGTGATAGTCAGTCATCAGTTTATTTGAATTGTGAGAAAATCTTGTATCGCCGTTACTTCCGGTACTTCCGGTCGTGACCGGAAGTGATGTAAAAATGAATGGTTAACGTTAGCAAGTTGGATTTTCACGCTGACGACCAGGGTTAAATTTCCAGAGTGTTTGAATTTCTTTTATCTCCTTTTCAGCTTGAATTTTCGTTTTTATTTTCAGAATCGGACGGAAGACCTCTCATTGCTCGCAATGAGTTTCTAGTTATTATTATTTTTTTTTTCTTACCGATTTTGTGCAGGCGATTTCTCGAGAACGCCTCGATAGATTTTCATGAAACTTTCAGCAATGATGGCAAATCATCTGAACTTAGGGCGTTTTTTTTTATTTTGCCGTCGTCACTTCCGGTCGCGAGATACGGCCAATTTTCTTTTTATAAAGTTGCATTTTGTCCGAAAGTGTTCTCAAAAACGCTTTGAGATTGAGTCTTGAAACTTCCAGGGATGATAGATTGCGACTAGTAGATTTGAATTTTTTGATTAGTGTATGTTGCCGTGACGTCCGTTGTCCACCGGAAGTAGTTTAATAAAATGCAAATTTTTATTTTTTTTTCTTTTTTAAATGTTTACAATTGAGATAATAGAGACAAATAGACTGTTTCAAGTCATACTATTTTCACCAGTAGTTATTTCTTCCAAACCGGAAGTAGACGAGAAAATGCTCATTTTTCTTCAAAACTTTGAGGGATGACTCCTCCACACTCAATGAGGAGTTAAAAGTCATTTTGAGTACTTCCGGTCATACCGGAAGTGAATATAAAAGACCGGAAGTTGTTTGAAATTGATAGATTTTACTCTTTCATGTGTTGTTAAGCATATTTTGAAGAATTAATATGAATTTTTTTTTTTTCATTTGAAGTTGTTCTACTTTCTTGTAATCAAAATTTCCCAAATCTAACGGAAGACCTACTCGGTGCTCGCAACGAGATCTCATCTAGTTATTATTATTATTCTTTTTTTCTACTTTCTTCTCCGGTACTTTTTTGTCCGGGAGTGTTCTCATAGAACCACTCATCCGATTGACATGAAACCTTTTTAGGGTTAATAGGCATGTTGTGTAGGTGTTCGGAACGAAGGACATTTTGCGCGCACATGCATGCACGTGCGCGCGCGTGCAATGAGTGAAATGACTGATATACTTGATGAAGCCGTAACTTTTATATTTCTTGATGATTTGCTTTGAAATTCAAAATATAAAGATCTATTAGTAGTCTAGACAATATGACGTGGTCACATTAGCGTGAAATCACGCGCATGCACGTGCGCTCTTCTCTGATTGGCTGATACAAAAATCTCAATAATTTCCTTGTTTTTTGACAAAATACTTTGAAATTTAGAATATAAGTAAATATTATAAAGTGCTACAACATGTTAAATAGGAAATTTCTTGAAAACACGCGCATGCAGGTGTGCTGCAATCTGATTGGTTGAAATTTTAAATGTCTATAACTCCCTTGGTTTTCAACAAAACAGGATGAAAATTACGACATGGATAGGCACATAGAGCTCCTACATTATGATACTATCAAAACTGAATGCAAGGCCATGCTTGCGCGTATGCTGAATTCTGATTGGCTAATACTTAAAGGGTTACATCTCTTTTATTTTTCAATGAAATTCTTTAATATTTTACACAAATGTATGTATTGTGAGACACTATAAGAAAATTAATTTGAAAATGTAGAAAACATGTGCAAGCACATGCGCTGAAACTTGATTGGCTAATACCCATATGGCTATATCGGAGTAGTTTTCCAATGAAATACCCTTAAAAATAAAGTGTCCATCTATATTACAAAAGTATCGTCTAATTTATTGAAGCTTGTAGGGAATAGGGCATCATAAGGGATTGGGGAGCCGTTTGGGGAACATCTGTAACGGTTTCCGTTACAATTAGCACTAGTTAAAAATAGTTTGCACAACAATTAGAAAGAGAGCGAATGGAAAGGAAAACTTTGTCGTTTGATTTCACTTGCATAAACAACATCCAATCACCTCCGTCTTGATAAGCTTACAGGTAATATGTACATGAAAATAATTTCCAAAATTCTGCTAACATCGATTGATAAAGAAAGAAACAGATGGGTCTATTAGACAAGGGCCTTTATTAGGCAGGCCAATACAGAAAGAGAAATAACTAAGTTATACGTCAGTCTTTTTGTAGGTAGGATATGCTATCTTAAGCGCAATTATCACTAGAGATTTTCTCTTTCTGATTTCACTCAGCCTAGTGCTGATTTAATTTTCTGGGAATCATATCAGAAAATTTGTATTTTGTCTAAATAATAAGTCAAAAATTTCGTCAAAGACTCTTTAAAGTAAAAATAAAATTTACGTCTTGGAACATTTTTCTAGAGGAAGGCATGGCATAAAGGACTTGCATTTGATGTCCCAAAACATCAAGATAGCCCAATAGACTGAAAAACCTGCAGAAGAAGAAAATTTTACATAAATGGTTGCGTAAATTTTGTCGAATATTCTTAAAGATTATTGTTTTGAAATTCTTATACCAATAATTTGTAATAAAGATTTTCTCAAATACAATATATCTGAAAATTTGAAACAAAAATCACTGCTTAGCATAATGTAGATTTATAAAGTTCATTTGAGGACACAGATTTAGATTCTGAAGTTAGTCACCAAACAAACAATACTTCTATACATAAGGCGTTTACATTTCTACTAATTCCTGCAAGTTTCAGATCTATTATAGAACGAGATTTTGGGCTTTAGGTTGATGCAGATCTATTATAGAACGAGATTTTGGGCTTTAGGTTGAAAGACTTATGACAAAAGAAGAGCACATGATTGAAATCGGCTTGGCAGAAATAAGAACTGGTGAATTAGGTTATGTTTAAACTTGTTACATATCTTTTGCTGTATAAATCTAATGCGATATAAAACTTTGGTCATTCAGCAGGTTTCAGCAGGGCAATGAATATTCTTTATTTACCAACACGCTTGTGTAATACATTATATCTTGAAGAAAATTTTTTCCACAGTCATTGAAAATCTATCATACTTTCAGCTTAAAACTTGTCAAAAATGCTCATAATTAAAGACTATTTCACTTACACAAATCGTCAATTTAAGTAAAAGAAATGGAAGATGCTAGGAAAACAAGCAAAATAAACATTATGCAACATGCCATGACCATGAAAATGAAAGTTCTAATAACAATTGAAAGATGAAAAAAAAACTGTTTAAAAAAGGGAGCAGCACATTCCGCAATATAATCTACGGTATAGTTCTTAAAAAGAAATATTAACATATGAAGGGAAAAAGGAACCTTTAAAAGGAACTGAAGCGTTTGTATATAAAGAAAAATAAATGCAGCTATGTCAAAACTTACCTAAAGGCGAAGAATATGGGTTAGCTGCAGAAAGAATAAAATTTATATGAAATGGTTTTTGATTCAAAGACGAGCTTTTGACATGTTTTAATTATGTGTTTTGTAATGCTTACAGTCATGTATACAGATGATACGAGCGCAAAACAAATCCCTAATAACAAAATTACATGACTTTCAAGGATTCACGTAGTTCTGCAAGGTATAAAAAAAAGTTGCTAAAATATTTCAGGGCGGCTGCAAATCCCATTAGAAGACAATGAGTCTTCTGATCATGAGTTAAAGATGGTTGCCGTGGTCAAGAGTTGCAAAACAATCAAATCTTCTGTGAAACTCTTGTATTGTTTTTTTTTTTTAAATAGAATGAAGTGGGAAAAAAACAAGGGAAAACAAATATATGAATAAATCATTTGTTATTAATTAAATTCGATTTCAAAAGTGAATTGGAAAATTATACAGTTCAGGTGGAAAGGTCTGGGCGGTATTTTGCCTTTAAAAAATTGACTACAAAAAATCAAAGACTTGCAAAATTATTTTTGGAGCTAATGTCACTAAAAAAAAGTTACTGAGTATATCATTTATAGAGCAAAGGTTTATATGTTTGGGTAAAAATAAAACTTTATATAAAGGTTGTGGATGGGCACAACATTTAAGGCTTATAAAAACACTAACAGGCAAGTACTGTACTACTTCCCATGTTGAAGAATAGAATATGGATCTATATGTAACAATAACTTTACGTTTCTGAGATTTTAAACTAAATATTGCTAAATATAGATGAATTACTGCTCAATAATGTGAACACTACAAAAATATTCCACATTTAATCTGATGTTAAAATTTCAACACAGATTTCTTTCTAGGAATTTAATTGCAAAAATTAGAGCTTTACGTTCTTTCAGTTAAATGAAATTGGCTATTGTTTTTCATATTTTATTTTTATTTCTTTAATATATCCATTAAAAAGTTAGCTGAGGAAAAGCGCATGCCCAACATGTAGACAGACAAAATTTTCTCTGAGAGGAAAGTTTTTACCTAAAAACTCGAAATTATTGAAATTTGAAAGCCTAAAGTGCAGTGACTTTAATTATGATAACCTTTGAAGAGGGATCTGTATGCATTGTCTCCTTTGTTTCATAAAGATACATAACCTAATTAATAAAAACGATAAGCAAGTTGTGATTACATTACACCACTAGTGGTTTCCCTTGAAAGAGAATTAAAAAAAATATTAACAAATTTTAATTCACAACTTGTTGGGTGAATTCACATATTTTTCTACAAATAGAAAAGACTCTGTATACTGTATTTCTTACATTTGTAAAACTATTTTCATTCTTTCTAAAGGTGTTTAGTGTCAACTCTTTAGTAATATCAATTATAATTGTTTTTGGTATAAACTTTCTACTCTCAAAAACAACAAGGCATTTTTTTTTTCAGACAATCCACATACTTTTGTATATACACTTTTATCTTTTATTTTTCTTTTTGTTTCTGTCTTTCATGGGGTCAGCAATATTTTCATCCATACTTTTAAAATATTCATTAATCATAATAAAAACAACAACCTAAAAATACTTAAGTAAACTGTCAAGGCTTTGGTAAAATTCATAAAAGAAGAGAGGTGCTAAAGAATTTAAAATCTAAGAATTATAATGTTTTCTTTTTACAAGATACTCATTTTGTGGGAAAAGATGAAAACTTTATAAGAACACAGTGGGGATATAAAGTTTTTTTTAGTTCATTCAAGTACAATTCAAGGGGAGTTGCTATCAATTTTTAATAATAACTGTGAATTAAAAACCATCAATGAATATAAGGATACTGATTGTTATTTTCTAATTTAATTTGAATGTTTTTATTGAGGATATCTCTTTTTCACTAATAAATATTTATGGTTCAAACTCTGACACACCTTATTTCTACTTAAGTTTAGTTCATAAAATAGAGGAGATGTACTCTTTTAAAATAATAGTTATAGGGGGTGATTTTAATTTAGTTTTTGATAAGGATTTTGATTCAATGAATTACAAACATTTAAACAATTCAAATTCAAGACGAAGTAATGAAGCTTATGGATGCTTTAAACCTTAAGGATGTATTTCGTGAAGATAATCCAAATTTCAAAAGGTTTACCTGGAGACGAAAAAATCCACTGAAAAAAGCTAGACGTCACTTTTTCTTGATATCAGAGTCTATGCTAACTATGATGCCTTGTAAAATGTTGAAAGTAGTTACTGTTCTGATCATTCACCAGTTCTACTACATTGTAAATTAAATGAATTCAAAAAAGAAAAGGGTTTCTGGAAAATTTAGTAATTCTCTGCTACATGAAAAAGAATATGTTGAACAAATAAAATGTATGATTGAGGAGGTAAAAATTGACAAGTGCTATTAATACAACTGAAAAATTCTCTATAAGTTGTTATATACGTAAGCAATTGATCAGAGACTTCATTAAGAGATTAAGGTTCTAATAAAATTTAAGACATTCATGTTAAGACACTGCATTACTACAATTTTCAAAAACTGGAAAATTTTGCAAAGAGACACAGAACAAATCGGATCTTCTTAAAGTTGAAGTGTCGGATCCTAGTACATGTACATGTAATTATAAGCTTTGACTAATTCATGTTTCATTTTGAAACTACAGTATCATTGTTTTAATGCAAAACAAATCATTTTAAGGAAGGGTTATTGCGTTTAATCGCAAAAATTATTGCGTTTAATCGCAATACTATTGCGTTTAATCAAAAAGTATTGCGTCTAATCGCAAAAATTATTGAGTTTAATCGCAAAAATTGCGTTTAACCGCAAAAAATATTGCGTTTAAACGCAAAAATAATATTGCGTTTAAACGCAAAAAGTATTGCGTTTAAACGCAAAAGATTGAGTTTAATCGCAATCTTTTGCGTTTAAACGCAATGATTATTGCGATCAAACGCAGTGTTTTGTGTTTAAATACGCAATAATTATTGCGTTTAAACGCAATAAAAAATATTTCCTTCTCTGAACTGGCCTCAACGTGCTTCTGTACCTATGAAAGTGTTATAACAATAAAAAAAAAAGTTAGCTGAGATAATCAAATGTATGTATATTTCTATATGGTGTAAAGACTAAAGAAAAAGTAGCAAGATCTGGTAATTCTAAGATAAAAAAAACAGGCTTGAAATTCATTCATTCCTATCAGAATACTTTAAATTACAATTGGAGAAAAAATTCTAGAGAAAAAATGTCATCTTAATTTTTTTAATTTTACATATTCACTATGCTTAAAATGTTATTTATCTCTTTTTTTCCAAATTCATCAAAACTAAAATATCAATTATAGATATTTCGTGATAACGCTTTCTTGGTAGGGGGGGGGGGTATTCAAAATTGGTAATATTACACATGTACAAAAAAAATCATTACTTTCATAAAGATATAAAAATATTACTTACTCGAGTCATCCCAGAGATTTGTATCTAAAATGAAAATGAGAAAAAAGATCAAGGATGACAAAATGTTTTGTTTTGATGTAATGTATGTTATGCTATGTTGTGAATTACGGAATATGTCTATTTCCTTTGGTGTTACGGTGAAATATCTTTCTTGATAAACATAAGTATAAAAACTCAGAAAACAAACCGTATCCCCCATATAGAAAAATAAGCATAATATTTTTTAAAGAACTACAAAAAATAAAATCAAAAACTAGGTTATTGAAAAACAATTTGATATCGCTGTTGACTGTGATCACAACTTAATGAGGGACTATTATAATAACTCTAGTTGCATTAATGTCATCACCTCTGTTTTTGTCAGTGCCTAATATACTTTTGATGCTGCACATTGAATAGTAATAATATTAAAAATAGATCCCGAGTTAAATCCAAGAGTGGTCCAAGTACTGTTACTTTCTATTATGGAACAAGACACAATAAATATTCTATCATAAAAAAAGCTATGTGGAGATTGACGATTGAATCAATAAACATGATATTTATACTTATTTACTCATATTTACTAAATATGATATTGCTTAACATGCTTATACTGACTTGAAATGACATTCTTTTTTTTTAAATCTTGCTTACAACAATCGTTTTCATCGGTTTGACCATTTCCGTCATTATCTATTCCATCTCCAGGCACCATTAAAGGCCAGTGACGCTCATTCTGTAAGGCGATATCAAAACTAAGATAATTCTATGTAAAACAATGTATAAGTTAAATTTCAGCAAGGAATCATTTGTTGAATGAATGTGTGCATCTGATTCAAGATTTTCAAAAGGTTAGAAAAAGTTATGCTGTTATACAGCCAATAGGTACGCAACATTTTGTGAAAGATCACAGAATCTATACTTATAAATTAATAAATTTTGCAAATAAACTCCGAAACGGGTGCACCAGAGTTCTTACTTACTCCTCTAACAATACACTAGATACAAGATGATGTCCGTAAACTATATTTAGATTTCACTCGCATAGTAAGTATCGGACATTAAATTAAAAGTCTTCTTTTATTTTCTATAAACAGCCATGAAATAGCAAAAACGTGAGTACGGTGGCGTTTCCGGTTGGCGGATCTAGGTTACTGGAAATTTTTAATGAAACTGACACCAAGCAATTGTTTATTTATTTCATAAAACGTCAACACTGAATTATTCAATCAAAGCTTGATTTAAATTATATAAAAGAAAAAGATTGTGATAACCATCTAAAAAGGGAAACGTCCAAATTATTTTTGTCATTCACCGATCTTAATATTGAAGGAAGCTTCTAGTACATCATTATGATATAGCATCGAGCCCGATGTTAAAAAGAAAAACCAGGCGATTATAGCTGCAAGAACATAAAAAAAAGCTTTTGTGTGAATGGTCATTGAAAAAATGGCAAATCATTGATAACACTAAAAGTTGTGATATATTTATATATCGAAAGACTATTACATATATGTAGTAGGCTTTTTAATAAATTTATCGGTAAAATATAAATAATTTATATTCCTATATTCCTTACTAAATGCATCGTGGCAACGAACTCGAAGTACAATTTGTACTTCGTAATAAACTTGCTTACATGAAAAGAGAAAATTAATGAATAAGGTATTGTTCAAATACAGTTAAAACTGTAAAATTTTGTGTTTTAATCAATACATTTCAGTTGGGTTTTTTTTTTCTGAATACAGTCTTTGTATCAAATACTCGGCCTATTCATAGGGCGTTATAAGCTAATTTTTACACAGACTGTACTTGGGTCTTGGTTTATAAATATGTATGTACCTTATTGATATGTAAAAAAAAAAGTAAATAAAAGTATATTTTTTACATATCAATAAGGTACATACATATTTATGAACCAAGACTCAAGTACCTGTGAATTTTTACCTCCCCCCCCCCCCCAATAAATAAATAATAAATTTATCAGTAAAATGTGTATATTCGCTGATTTTATCCTTGGCGGAAATGAAATAAGAACATCTGAAGTACAATATCCATAACATAGTACAGCAGATTTCATAATAAACGTCAATTAATGAAATTGTTATTTTTCAATTTTTTACAAAAAGGGGGTGGGTGGGGTGGAGACGTACATGTACATCTACTTCATGCGGGATTTTGAACAAGTATTTCTTTCTGCTATAAGCCTATAGGCTGTCAGTAGAAACTACAATATATTTTCTGTCGGTAATGGTATAAATTCAATTCCCCGCGCTTGCGCGGGATTTCATCTAGTTGAAAATAAAAAAAAAAAATGACTTTCCATTATGTAAACATACAATCGTTTGTTATTTTTTCATAATCATGCCGTTGTCATCATTACAATAAAAACTTAACATTTCTGTATCATTTAGAGATTGTATGTGTACTGAATGCGTGAATATATAAAAACTTACACTGTCTTCACTCTGTAAAAAGCCACAGAAAGTGCCTCTAAAATGCATCCCGTCCTTGTATAAACTGCATCCAAATATTTTCAACGGCGGAACAGGATCCTCTCTATACGCAAAAAAATGAGTTAGAGGGGCGTAATCGTCATTTGCAGGCTCGTAAGTGACATTCATATAGGAATGGTTATATCCAGAATTGCGATTCAGAGCACGGTCATCGGTGGTGAATGTTATTGGAACATTGATTACCATAACACTTTTGTGAGCTGCATTCAAAACAAACTGTGTCACAGAAACTGGTTTTGATGAACGTATTCTCACCGGTTTTTTACCGTCTATTCTTCTTCGTATATTTTCGTATTTTTTCGGTATTATCACGTGGTCATATCCCGAGATATGAACAAAGGTATTAGGCTGAGAAGTTATTATGCTTATTATGTCACCGTATGCATTTATTCCATAAGGCACTACTGCATAACGCGTTCCCCATAGGTTGACTGGAATGAGCTGTTCGACCATAAACTGAAGATTAGAGGCTGTATTTTGTTCTAAAGAAGAAAAACTTGCAACATATGCTATAATGTTATCAGATGCATTTATGTATGCCCCAGTGATATCGCAGTTGAAATTCAGTGTTTTTGATTCCGAGCTCTGAAGATTTACAGTTATGACTTTGTTCATGCATTCTGTTAGAGAGTAATTGTTCACTTCCGGTAAAGCTATATTTACTATGATTTCAGAATTGGAAGGATTACCTATTCCTATAAAGCTTTTGCCTGTGACATCAAAATATACTGAAGCAACATACTCTGATCCTAGGTACTCATCTTTTAAAGCATTAAACATCTCTCTTGTAGAGTCATTTCCCAAGATCCCGTACACATCTGAGTTAGATTTAACTCGATATACTCTGTCCGACTCATAGGAGCAGGGCGGAAAACAGTGTAATGGTAAAACACAGCTGATATTTTCACAAACACATAAACCTGACGTTGGCTCTATATTTTTCTCTTGTGTCCCGCTAAATCCAACGGACATGAAAAATAAAGAACGATATTCTCCACCTGAAGCGAAAACAAATGGATATTTTGAAGTCAGTATTTGGTAATAAACACATTTTCCCAAATGAATTGAAAAAGTGTTAAACAATACTTTAAAAAAACTTTTATGCTTCCCTAGTCGGATATTCGGGGACATACAGTTTTTGGTCAGTCTGTCTGTTTAATTGTCCGCAAAACCTTGAACCGTGATCATAACCTTTGAATGGTTGGTGCTTGGCTTTCGTATTTCATATGTGTATTCCTTGTGACCAAGACCTTTTTAGTGTACCAGAAATTGCGATATCGTGACCTGACCTTGGAGTTTAACCTACTTCTGTAAAACTTTATCCTTGGTCATAACTTCTGAACAGTTAGTGCTAGGGCTTTCATATTTCACATGTTTATTCTTTGTGCACCAATATTTTTGACATTATGACCTTGATCTTGGAGTTTGACGTACTTTTGAAAACCTTTAACCATGGCCATAAGCGAGCGTCCCATAAGGGGGCATCTGTGTTTCACGAATAAATTTTGTTATTTACTATTAATAACTTTTGACTTATGTAAGTATTTAATGCAAAAGAATGAAGTACTACATAGAGTAGGTTATTTCTCTTCAAACAATGACAATATTTGGACTTTTCTTCCTCTTTCCAAGCTTAAAGTCACTAACGTTTTTTTCAATGGAGAATAAAATCAGAACAAAAATTCATACTTCAATAAGAATATTTTTTATATTTTTTAATGCTTAATTTTTATTGGAATATGTTTCGTTAAGCTGTTATGGTCAAATCAAAGAACTACTTTTCTACATACATGACAATGATACTTATCTGCCACTTTAAAATTTTTTTCTATTTGTATATACAAGATTGAAATTCTCAATTTGTAAATTTTATAAAATATTTTGAAATTTTCTCTGAAAAGGAGGGTTGAGGACTGATTCTGCAAAGATAGTTTGAGATCAACATGTACGAGAAAGATTAAAAGCTGGAAGAGACAGAAAAATAAGAAAAGCATTTGCTTGTATTTTCTTATAAATTGATATGTTAAAAATTAAAAATAAAATAAATTATTCTTACTATTAGCAATTACAAATTATTTTAAAATTAAATTTTAATTCTTTTTCTCGTGATCATTACATTAATGATGTTAATGAGTACATGTACGTAATGCTGTCTCCAATAACATGCATTGATATCCATATAAGAATTAATGATTCCAAAACTATCTTACCAGCTGGACAAGTAAAAGATGAATCGCCTTCACAACCAGTCAAAAACAATACAAAAATGAGGACCACCATCTGTGAAAAAAATTGACAGAAAGATATTAAAACTCATATGTAGAGAGAGAAAAAAAAACTGAGTCATATTCGAACAGTCCATTAGTACAAATCTCTTTTCTGCTTGAACTTTCAGTAAGGCATGACATCCTCGGCTATACATAATTAGCGTCTCTCAAATAGTGACCTATAGATTCTCATTGGTTGCCAGATTAGCTCATCAATACTGAAGTTTACACAGCTTTTCATTCACTGGTAAAATACACATGGGATAAAAATGGTTCAGACGTCAACGAGTGGCTCAAGGAACCAATTACATGGTTTCTTACAGTAAAGAGGTGTGGCTTATGTCATCTCATTGTTTGTTAACAACAATCCAAAGTTGCTAATGTTATTAATTTGTTAACCAATGAGAATCTATGTCACCATTTGAAAGACGCTAATTATGTATCGCCAAGATTGTCACGCCTTACTGAAAGTTCAAGCAGAAAAGAGAATTGTAATAATATTCTACATAGATAAATGTGACCACAAACAACCTTGAATATTGACTTGATATCTTTGATATCAAGTTTGAAATCTTTGTATTACTGGACAGAGATATTGCGTATGATATTTTATGACCGTTTAATCAGGTATTCACGATGAGGTGATTGATATACTTTGTTTTAATTTCCTTGACAAAATTCACGGCATAACCGTGTTTTATTATACGTATAGCTGCAAAAATCAAACATTAAGCCTTTTAAAGTCTGAGAGAGCAACAACTCAAAATGCAATTAACAAATTGTCAATCAAATATGATACTAGTATTATTCATATGATTCACTTTAAATACTTTTAAGTTAGTAAACTTTTTTTTATAAATTATACTTTTTGTTCGTTTGTTGTTTAACGTCCCTCTCGAGAATTTTTCACTCATATGTAGACGCAACAATTTGCCGGTGGAGGGCTGCAAGTTTAGACCTATACTAGCCACTCAAGGCCATTGAGCAGTGAGGGATTTTTTTCGTGCCAGCACCTACTGCGACACGGGACCTTGATTTATACGGTCTGAATGACACGTCTCCATGTCCCGCAGTGGGATTCGACCCTGCAACGTAAGGATCAACGGATTAAGGTCATAAGACAGTTACACCCGCATGAAGTGTTCGCCGCTAAATGTAAACAAGCTCCCTTATACTGGGTAGCAGAGAAGCCTACAAGTTGTTCTATAATTTACATGAAATATATATACATGATCAACTTGAGCATAAAATGCAATTAGTTTTTCAAATAATAAATTCATTATCGGTCTGAAATTAAAGATTGTGATGAAGTAGATTCTGAAAAAATGTTTTCCTGTAAAGAAAAAAAAATCGTCGCAAATTGCAATTTGACAAATCCTTTTTCGACCCCAAAAGGCCCCCAGGGTGAAAATGAAAATTTCGAAACGCAATTGCACATCTTCAGGACACTTCTAATAATTTTCCAAAAGGTGAAATGGTTTATGAATAAAATGTATGAGAAATTCTGGGAAGCAGGTTTCTGTAAAATGAAAAACGTCGTTTTTCGACCCCCATTTGGTCCCAAAGGTGAAAATGAAAATTCCAAAACCTTATTGCAAATCTACTGAACACCCGCAATCATTTGGCAAATGATGAGATTGCTTCTGTGTAAAATGCACTGAGGATTTCTGGAAAACTTTTCTTTCTTAGTAAAATAAAACACATTTTTTTAAATTCTCATTTGACTCCTAGGGTAAAAAAAAAATTCCGAAACATTTTGGAGATGATTTGGTGTATCCTGCAAATATTACACATTTGCAGGATACACCCAATCATCTCGCAAAAGATGAGATGGTAACTGTGTAAAATTTATGAGCAGTTCTGGGAACAGGTTTTTGTAAAAAAAAAAAAAAAAAAATAGTTATTTTCAACCCCCATTTGACCACCCGTCGTTTTCGCCCACATTTGACCCCTAGGGTGAAAATAAAAATTCTGGACTTTATAGCACATCTTCAGGACAACCCCAATCATCTTGCAAAAAAATGAAATGGCTACTCGTAAAATGTAAGGGTTTTAGGAATTTTTTTTTTTTTTTTTTTTTTTTTGTAAAATAAAAGTTGTTTTTCGACCCCAATTTGGCCCCTAGGGTGAAAAAGAAAATTCCAGAGCCTTACTGTACATCTACTGGAAACCACCAATTACCTTCAAAAAGATGATTTATCTACTGTGTAAAATGTTACAGGACTTCTTGGAACCAGATTTCTGTTAAAAGGAAAAACTGTATGTTTCAACCCCAATTTGACCCCCCCCCCCTTCCAGGATGAAAATTAAAATTTCGAAACCTTACTGCAAATCTAAAGGACACCATCTATCATCTTGCAAAAGATGATTTGGTACTGCAAAAGATGATCTGGCTACTGTGTAAAATATAAGAGGGGTGTTAGAAACCAGGTTCTTGTAGAAAAACGTCGTTTTGTAACTCCCATTTGGCCCCCGGATGAAAATTCCGAAACAAGACTGCTCAACTACAGGACAATGTTTATCATATTTCAAAAGATAAATTGGTTACTGCTTAAACTGTAAGAGTAATTACTGGAAGAATTACAGGAAGAAAGTGTGACAGACGGACGGACGGAATAGGATAACAACATTACACCCCAACTTTCTGTAGAAAGTGCGGGTATAATAGTATTTCAGGTTTCAATCTCATTTATTCCTCCCGATGATTCACAGATAAATTGATAAATATTAAACGAAACCCCAGCTATAATTTTTATAGTCTGTTCTACAATATGATTAAAGGAGACAAATCTATTTGAGAATTTGTAAGCTTTAAATAAGCTGTAAAGCAATATGTTAGAAAAGTTTTCATTGGCAAACTGGTGTATTACATTTAAAATGAAATATTTTCACAATGTATACTTAAGGTATAAAAACCAGAAGTCTTTGACGAGACTGTATCTCTACTGGTGTTTATTTATAATAAGGAAAGATGTAACTAAGTAAAGTCTACTTGTGTATTAAGTGTAATCAGACCAAAAATATAAAAGGAGTAGCGTTTCAAAAGAATCTGAAGAAATTTCTATTCTTAGTAACTAGGGCAACACTGTTTGTCTAAATCAAAAACCGATTAATAGAATTATGTATCTTAGTGTATAGTCTACTGGTGCGCAAAGTCTTACTGAAATTTGACCAAAACTGAAGGAGGAGTAACTTTTTGAAAAATTGTTTACAGACGGACAGATACACATGGGCGAACACCTAAAAAATGCATAAGCTCTTCTGGTCTATGACGAGTAGAGCTAAAATTGTTAAATTTGAAAGATGAATATCTACTGTTTTAGTGACAAGTGTATTTAGTATAAATGAAAAGACCTATCATGACAAGAGAAAAAATATTGACAAATGACAATAGAGACCGTGAATCAATGAAATACTAGTAGTCGGAAGCGAATCGATTCTAACTGTTAAATGACCTTGGGATTTCTCTCTTTCTGAGATTTCGTGTTGCTTTGACAAAACTTTTATAATGTACTCCTACAGGTGCATCTGATCAAGGATGTTTCAATAGTGAGCGACATGAAATATTGAACACAATAGAAAGATAGGTATTGATACAGGAAAAACAAACTAATATCAACAACATATTTTACTTACGAGATGGAAGTAATTAGTAAAGTTGTATTCTCAAGATTTCGAACAAGATTAAGAAAAAATATTATCGGGAGGTCAGTTTTTATATT